CACCAGGGTCACCAGTACTGATGCTCCCATTTGAAGATTTCCCATTTGGGAACAACCCAACATTTTGGATTTTCATTCACTTTCAATGAAAATGGTAAACATGATATATAGTGAATCACTCTGAAAGGGGAACAGACCTGACAGGTGTTCCAATCCCTTTCTACTTTGTCCTATACTGAAAAAAAGTTTTGCCTTTAGTTATAATTTAAGGTTTACCTACAATTTGCACTTCCCCATTTTCTCTAAAATTAAACAAAAATTACAAGAGTTCCATTTTGTTCCACATCGATGAGGCAGCTAATTTGCTAACAACTATGTCCTCTTTCATATGGGGCGGACTCCACTTGTGATCCGCTTGCTTAGCGGGGCATCTGTTCACTGATCTCCTATTTATCAGGAGGATGACAGGTCTACATAAGTGAAGCAGACACAGCTCGCTCTCCTCTATGAGCAGTTACAGTTTGTGTTCAAAATAATTGCAGTCAGACATCACTAACCTGATCAATCACTGGTTTTGGTAGAAATGATATTTCTACATGGCAAATAATTTACTTGCAGGTGTAGTAGAGTAATAGAAATCCAACAGAACCAACAGTCATGACATGCATGCTGCTGATTCACTAATTGAATCACTAATTGAAAGAGACATGTTCAAAATAATAGCAGTGTGGAGTTCTATTAGTGAGGTCATTCATTCTTTGAAAAACAGGTGGCAATTATTGCCCTTATTTAAGGAAGGAAGGCAGCAAATCTTATACATGCTGGTTACAGTGCATTTCTCTTTGAAATTGAGGAAAATGGGTCGTTCCAGGCATTGTTCAGAAGAACAGCGTACCTTGATTATAAAGTTGATTGGAGAGGGGAAAACATATAGAGAAGCGCAGAAAATGATAGGCTGCTAGGCTAAAATGATCGCAAATGCTTTAAAATGGCAACCAAAACCTAAAAGACGTGGAAGAAAGCGAAAAACTACCATTCGAATGGATAGAAGAATAGCCAAAATGGCAAGGACTCAGCCAACGATCAGCTCCAGGAAGACAAAGAAGGTTAAAGTTACCTGTGAGTACTGTTACAATTAGAAGACGCCTATGTGAAGCCAAGCTATCTGCAAGAAGCCCCCACAAAGTCCCACTGTTGAAAAAAAGACATGTGCTGAAGAGGTTACAATTTGCCAAAGAGCACATTGACTGGCCTAAAGAGAAATTGCGCAACATTTTGTGGACTGATGAAAGTAAGATTGTTCTTTTTGGGTCTAGTGGCCGGTCACAGTTTGTCAGACGACCCCCAAACACTGAATTTAAGCCACAGTACACTATGAAGACAGTGAAGCATGGTTGCGCAAGCATCATGATATGGGGATGTTTCTCATACTACGGTGTTGGGCCTATTTATCGCACACCAGGGATCATGGATCAGTTTGAATACATCAGAATACTTGAAGAGGTTATGCTGAAGAGGAAATGCCCTTGAAATGGGTGTTCCAACAAGACAATGACCCCAAACATACCAGTAAACGTTCAACATCTTGGTTCCAGACCAACAAGATTGACGTTATGGAGTGGCCAGCCCGATCCCAGGATCTAATCCAATAGAAAACTTGTGGGGTGACATCAAAAATGCAGTTTCTGAGGCAAAACCAAGAAATAGAGAAGAACTGTGGAATGTAGTTCAATCATCCTGGGCTGGAATACCTGTTCACAGGTGCCAGAAGTTGGTTGACTCCATGCAACACAGATGTACAGCAGTTCTCAGAAACAGTGCTTATACAACTAAATATTAATTAAGTGATTCAAAGGAAAGCAAAATCTTCAAACATTTTTTCAGTTTATATAGTGAATGTTTGAGTTTGTAAAGAAGAATGCAAACACTGCTATTTTTTTGAACAGTCTAAATATTCACTTTTCTTCAATTTGTTTAGAAGAAGAACACAAATTTGATATATTTTTCTTCATGTTTTGATTTGGAATAGAATGTGTAGTGTTCCCAATGCATTTGTGTGTATGGAAATAAAAGCTATTAGAAGGATTTTGAGCTTTATTCACTTTTTTCAACACACTGCTTTTATTTTGAACACAACTGTAGATGTAAATGGACCAGCTGTCTGTGTACACCTGACTGCCCTTCAATTTGATCCAGCCAGACGGAAAGGAACAGATCTCCCTTCCGTTTTTGTTTTTGCCAGATCGGATTGGAGGTAGATGGGTGTAAACGGACACAAGTCCACTTACGCCCGCCATTCCATAAAGCAAGAATAGAGGATCAGATTGTGTCCCCCCTTAAAAACAGACGGACCCGATTAGAACATTTGTGTGAAAAGGGGGCGATCTGTGATTGTTCAGAGTGCAACATTAAAGTTTACTGGTACTGTCACACAGATCCTGTGTGTTCTGTAGTTTGGTGCAACAAAATTGGAGTAGGGGGTAACTATAAGTCATTAAAGAAAATCTTTCATGAGAGGAACATGGCTGCTGCCAGCGGTGACCTCTCCTTCTGAAAGTGCTTTTGGTCTGGTTATCATGCTGATCTATTCAAATCAAGTCAACTGACTAGCACTCGAGACTTTTGACTTTTCTCTTTGCTTTAAACCAAAGGTATTTAAACCTGTCCTGTATCATGCCAAGCAGGTCATGTTTTATGAATTGCCTTAAAAATGCAGAGGGAAATAAGTCATTCTTTTAATGTAACTCTGTTGCACAATATTCTCCAGAGGTTCATGTCTCCTGGCATTGGTTCTCTGGCCTCTGACAGCCAGCTACATATTGGCAGTCCTCAGTGTGACATTTCATGTTCGGTAAGAAACGTAAAAGGCATCCTATCTGTATTAGTAGGAATCTTTACCTTACAGTGTGCCTGTAATTTACAACTCATTTTCTGCCTGTGAGAGGTAATTGCATGAAAAATATTGGCAGATGACATAACAAGCTGAGTTAGTGAATCTTACATTCCTGGTACTCTGATTAATTTTTTGCATTGAGTCATCTGTAGTCCACTTCCTCCCTGAACCAGTATTAATCTCATTTCTCTTGGGTTCAGAACAGCTGCTGCACAGAAACCCCTTTGCTGTCCAGGTTAGCCGGTATGATTCAGGATTAGAGTGTCTCACGAGTTCACAGGGGAAATGACTAAACCTTTTGCAAGATTATCAACCTCCTAAATGCAAACCAGTTAGTCCACTGATATTATTTCATGTTTAGAGTTCTTCTCTATTGAATATTATTAAATATTTCTGATACAATTTAGTATCTAGCCCACAATTCAAAACTGGTCCTTTATCTATCTATCTATCTATCTATCTATCTATCTATCTATCTATCTATTATTTTATTGGCACTGTGGTAGAAGAAACCTAGTTTCTGGTCCAGATATTCCACCGTTATGCCACTTTATTTTCACATAACTGGTCTTTCTGCAATGCATGTAAACTTCACAGAATGAGTGTTCCCATTGGAATATTTCACTGACTTCCTGTTGCTGGTCAACAGTAACATTTTGTATCTGCTATTATTTTCTGCCCTAGAGAATATGGGCAGTAGGACAAAAAGTGTGACTATCCCCAGTGGGGACACAGACAGCAATAACTGAAGCTGAAATAACTACTTCCTACATTATCCAAAACAAAAAAAAAGGGTATGGCTAAAGAAACACTTTGAATACAGGGGTAATTTAAAATAAAGTTAAAAAATGTTATGAGCAGGAGAAACATAGTATTGGAGATACTATCTATGTTCTCTGGAATTACCTCCCACATGACGTTGCACACCCCTCTAGCTCTCAAAAAACTTCAAGTGCCCTCTTAAATCTCACCTCAAAAATGCATACAGCCTCAGCTAAACTATTCTCTTCAGTTTCTTATATGTCACTGTCACCTATTTAAAACTTAGCAACTTCCTTACCAATTGTATGTACTTCGTTTTGCTCTAGATTGGGGGGGGGTCTTAATCTTTTAAATTTGAGAATTCATATAAGTAAATTGTTACAGTACTGAGACCCAAGAAGACTATTCTCACCAAATGTTAGGAAAAGCCAAACAGGACAAATAACAATGGCTGTATGACACATAGGTGCTCTTCATAGTTTCTGTAAGCTTTAGCCAAATTAAATAAATTATTTGGTACATTTTTTTTTTAAAATGTTACCATATGCCAAAATATCTCCTCCTTAAACCTTGTCTGTGAAATTCCTTGAATGTGCTGCCAGTCATTGGTTTAATTGTTTCACATGTTTTGAGAGGGTTTTTGGTGTTGAGAGTGTGAATAATTATTTTTTCATCACATATAAATGAACATTAACCACATTGTTTATAGGCTATGCCTCAGATTGTGGTTTTATACTACCCGAAAACTTATATCTTCAGGATGGCAGGAGAACATTAGGAACTAATTTGTCACCTTTTATGGGCTCCAGGTGGGCATCTTGGGGAGGCAGGTATCTCCTATTGAATTCCAAAATTCCTTGAGATTTGGGCAGCCATATTGATACAAAAGTTCTTAAAATAGCAGTTTCTGAGTCACTGGGCATGCCCACAGTGTGGGGGTAGGTCAAGGATAGAGTGCCGCTTTTAAGGGTGAAAGTGGGAGCAGTGTTAGGGAGAGGTACCTGAAGACAAGGAAAAATGTCAATTCCTCATAGAGGGTAGCTCATCTTCCAGCTCCTTGGAATTGTCTTCTATCATCAGCTTAATTAACAGCAAGGACTTTAGGGATCCCAGGGGACCCAGTAATCTTATACCTTCCAAAGGGAAGTGGTCCCCAGGCATTCTGTAATCTTTAATCCCATGGTATATTACTACTAGAAAAGTGCCTTGTTATCTTTCCACTTGAAGAAGCATCTAACCCAAAACATATATGGTACCATTTCTACCTTATTTCTGTAATCACTCATTATAGTTTAATAAATAATAGTGTCAAGATGTAAACATCTGCTAAATCAGATTTAATATGCTACAGATATGGATAGTTTGGAATATTTCTGGCCATAAATTGTTACTGTTTTCTTCCCAGTGTAAAGGATGAATGTGAGAAGAACCGCATGACTACTCAGAATATCGGCATAGTCTTTGGACCAACGCTGATGAGGCCAGAGAAAGAACAGTTTGCAAACATTGCTGCCAACATGGTTTACCAGAATCAAGTGGTGGAACATTTTCTTTCTTACTATGAAGAACTCTTTCCAACTGATCCGGAAGAATAGTAAAATCTTTTGCATTAAGAAACTGAGATTTCTAAGATTTGCACTGTCCAACTTTTGATAGGATTACCGTACAATGATCTTTATGATGGTCTGAAGAGAACTTGCCTCTGGCTTCCCTGGTCTTGGCTTTGCCAAGCTATGCTGAAGATTGAAGCAAATGTCCAAGGTAGAAGCAGTTCATGTGCCTAAATGTGCCATGTGTTTAGTGATATTCATTGATATTTAATAACAAGATGAATATTGCTGCTGAGTTCTTAAGCAGTCCAGACACAACTACGCTGCAAGAGACTGCTCCACTATGAACTCTTGTTGCCATTTGTTCACATAGGTGATTCATGTGTGTTTGTATACTATTTTAAATACATTTTGAGAGTATATTCATTATAGCTTATTTGTTCCATATGTACATTATTCTTTAAAGATTGCATTTTGTTATTGTTGGTGTTTGAAAAATGGCAATTTAGTTTTAGTTTAGTTAGTTTTTGATGCAGGGGTTTCAACAATAGCCTTTTAATCACACACATTTTCAGTGATAATATTGTAATCATAAGTGCTACATGCTTAGCAATCCTGAAAAATGAATTTCTCAAAACTGAGAAAGTATAGGTCACTTACTAATTTAACCTACTAACCTCATCATAATTCAGAAATCTAAACCTAATCATTGCCTATTTCCTTGATACAACCCTTAAGCTCAACCTAGCCCATAAATGTAACTCTTAATATTCTGTCCCTTTGCCCTTTTAGGGCAATGTTACATGTTCTGTTTAAAGAACAAACACCTACCCACTGATACTTAACTCTCTTGCTCTCTCCGGTTGCTCCATTTCTTTGTCTAGAGGCCGAGATGAGGAGAATGAACAGGAGGGACAGCTGGCCCAGAGGCTCTGTTTCCAAGAAGGTAGGACACAGCAAGGACAGCTGCAGTGTCCCCTCCTTGGTGCCAGAGCTGCAGCATGGTAGGGGCACCCTGCATTGGAACTCTGAGCGTTCTAGCTCTGGGACCTATTTCATTAGCTATCACAAGGAAACTGTCAGGCAGGTATATAGGTAAGACTGCAAATGTTCAGATGTGCTGAATAGGCAGGTAGCTCAATAAAGTATAGCACAAACCTTGAGCAGACTTGTAGGCATAGCAGGCTTGCTGGTACTTATAGTGGACTTCTGCAGATGTCAGTTGAGTAGCAATGAGACTGGTTCATAGCAGGAGCAGGTCATAGCAGGCTGAGTTAAAGCGGAGTTCCACTCACTCTGTAAAAAAATAAGTCAGCAGCTACAAAAACTGTAGCTGCTGACTTTTAAAAAACAGCCACTTACCTGTCCCACGATCCCACGGTGCCCCCGCCGGAGCCCGTTTCATCGGCCATCCAGTATTCCAGGCGCTGGCATCTTCAGTGTGGGCATCCGGCTGTGACAGCTTGCGGCTTCACAGCTGGGTGCCCACTACGCATGAGCGAGTAGCGCTGTGCTTCCTGAATGGCCCCGTTGTCTTCTGGGACCTGTCACGTATTCCCACAAGACTACTGGGAGGGAGGGTAGGAGGACAACTTCCACTTCCAATTGCCTAGGGGCGATCTCAGGGAAAGTGGGCGTGGGTACCTGTCAATTTTGGGTACCCGCTCCCCAAAGGTGCCAATCCTTAATTGAGAGCGGGGGACCAATCTTTAAAGTGGAACTTCCCCTTTTGGGTGGAACTCCGCTTTAAGGAGGAGGGTCAGGTCAAATATCAAAGTCCAAATGGTACACAATCAACAGCGAAGAGGAAACAGGGTCAGAGCAAGCTGGGTCATGCATGGCAATACACAGAGCAGATACAAGCTGGGTCAAGGAAGAGCACATATGGTAGCACCACTATCACAAGCACTGGTGGTGTGTACAACAGATGATTTGAAACCTGGTCAGCAAGGAGCTGACCAATCACCATCATTTCCAGGTAAGGGCTGTCTCAGGTGAGTTTTTCTCAGTCTTTAATGGACAGCCCAAATCCTGGAACTGACAGAAACATTACAGATCAATATATCCCTTTCCCCACAGCAGCAGCAGACCTGCCATTAATATGGGCATCTGCTGGAGACCCATTACATGACCAGAACTATGTGACTGGACTGATAGCAGGTCTGAATTAAGCGGGGGGGAGGGGGGGGGGATATCTGATGCATTCAGTTCTCAGTCTTCCCTAGCCCTCTGAAAGCCTACAGCCAGCTGCAGATCTCCTAACCTCCCACAGTGACCAGCAGTGCCCCAGCCCCCACAATGCTCCTCCCTGTTCCACAGTGATCACCAACTTCTCACAGCGCTTTCCAGCCTCTCACAGTGTCTCCAGACCCCCATATTTCCCCCAACCTCCAAGAACATCCCATAGTGCCACCCAATCTCCCACAGTGACCCCCCTCCCCCCACCCCATGGAAACCCCATCCCTCACAGTTTCCCCCAGCACCCCACTGAGCCTTCATTCTCCACAGGGCCACTAAGTCTGCTGCAGTGTACACTAACCCCTGCAGAACCCCCATCCTCACATAGTGGCACTCAGTCCCATTCAGAGCCTTAAAATTCCCCAGCCCAATCCAGAGCCCCTAGTGCGCTTCAAAGCCCCTTATATTTAATTCCAGGTGACTCCAATGGTTTATCCTTCCAATGGCCATATACCAAAGCATCCATCCATCTACAGCTCTTGGACAAGGGGGTGGGACAGCTGAGTGAATTCTGTTTTGACTTAATTAAACCTAGTTTATTGTAAAATTATTAAAATATTTTCTTGTCATGAAAAAGAGACTGACTTGTGCGGAGTAAACAAGGTGTGTTACAAAGTTTGGCACCTTCAGCCTGGGCACTGAATAACTCTGTCGTGCCACTGATATATCCTGAGATCAAAATAGTGTTTGCGGGAATGCTGCTAGGCTGAGTGCAAACAGATCAGAGGTTGTTTTTTCAAGAAAACCCATCATTTTAAAGAAACTCCAAAGAGACTTTAACTTAAATCAAGCCAAAAACCTAACCCTAACATAGACCTAACACTAAGCTATCAGGCAAAATGTATAGCTATCATGATGATAAAAATACCACAATGAACATGTGATGAAAGATTTGGTTCACATATTCAACAAGCCAAGTTATTAGCATTAGAACCCTACACCAAAAGTTGTGTACCTAAATCTATTGATCCCAATAATCAGATGTTTGCTTTCATTTTCTAACCTGCACTAACGCTTTCTAACACCAGAAAAATAGCAGGTAGAACATCAGAGGTTGATACTGTTAAAACAACAAGGTGCTTTTTTAACCAATCTGCTCCATTAAGTGGATCTTTTGGAGCAGATTCAAGCAGCTCACACATTGTGCTATAAATTCATACCAGCCAACATTTTGTTGTGCAGGTAATGCAGAGAAGCAAACATTTGATATATAATTATGGTCAGCACAGGCTCCTCTGGATTTATAGAACAAATGAGGGTACAATATATATTAGAGCACTGGTGTCACACTTGTGCCTTGGGCAGTTAAAAGTAGGTAAGTAAATATCTAAATGAAATGGCTAAAGTTCTTATAAATGAAATGTAGAAAGTTTGTAATCTACATTTTTTTTTATTGATATCATGAATTTTTGACGTAAAGTTCAAGTTCATGATATCATGATATCTGGTCAAGTTTACAGATTTTCTTTTTTAATTCCATCAGGAACATGCACTACAATCCATTTCCTTTCCAAATGCATTTGATACATCTTCCACTATTTCATTCATTTTTAGAAGCCTGAAACACCTTTTTTTTTACAATATCTCCTACAATACAATACAGGGCTTCATGTACTGAAATCCTGAAAAAGGAAAATGTTATCTGGTCAAGTTAAATTTCATTATTTAATTTCACTTAATGAGGTTTGGGAGGTTAATAGAAGTTTAACTGGTATTGACAACACTTCACCTTCCTTCAGTTTTGATACAAAATGCCAAGTATGATTATACATACCTAACTTGTGCAATGAACTTTGGTATCCAAGAAGGGTGTCTTCTGAGCATTAGAATAAAATGTTCCCCTTCATGGGACTTACCAGAGATCTTCTTTTGGAACATGCAAGGAGAAGAATTTGAGTTACATGACATTTACAGAATGGGCATCCCAAGTGAAGGTGAGTATAATGAGTTATGTTTTGTTACCATAGGGCCTTTTGTCTCTGTATTCTAAAATGTTACTGATAACCACATCAGTAGCAACCCTGTTTGTTGAAGGCTTTAGTCTCATGAATGTTACAGAAGTATTGATTATTAGCTTTTTGACTCATAGACTTTTTTTTATTATTGACCGCTACTTTAAACCACACAATGAATAGTTGGGGATAGCAACTTCTATAATGGTAAAGGAGGCATGTCTACAGAAATATCACCTGTATGGTTTCTTAACACAATCAGTGGCATGAAAACAGACTAAGCGATGATGGGCAAAGGCAAAGTTACTAGGATCGTGGCCATATTTACATTACTTATCATATTATAGTAAAGGAATGGTAATCATGTTCAATGTATCTACTAGAAGAAACAATATTTGTTGTGTTATTTGAGCCATTTTTTAAAGTGGAACTTGGAACTGGCAGGTACCCCCCCCCCCTCCACTTTCACTTTTCTTGCATAGGCAAGAATAGCGGAGGTCGTGTGCCCTCCTCCCCCCCTCGTGCCCCGCATCCATGTCCCAGGAGTCTGCAGGATTCTGAAAGTACAACACGTCTTGTGCATGCGCAGTGCAGCAGGAGTTCACAGCCTGCTTCCCACAATCAAGATGGTGGTACTCAAAGGGACCAAAAGACCAGTGAAAAACTGGCCAGGGTGAAGACAGAGCTGGATCCCTGACCTGGAAGGTGTCTGTTTATTAAATGTCAACAGCTACAGTATTTGTAAAAAAAAAAAAAAATGATTGTGCTTCCTCTTTAATATAGTAGGTGGGGCTGGATTTCTGCATAGCCAACACATATCAAGGCCTAGGGTGGAGGTCTTGCAATAGCAACACA